TCTCTCTCTCTCTCTCTCTCTCTCTCTCTCTCTCTCTCTCTCTCTCTCTCTCTCTCTCTCTCTCTCTCTCTCTCTCTCTCTGCCTACAGTAGCCGACAATGTAGCTCTCCAATTCAGTTGTTTGCAATTGGCAACTTTGCCACCAGATGTCATTAAATCTCACATCATCCTTCCCTAAAGACAATCCAAATGAAGTTTCTGGCAGTGTTCATGTGTGAATGTTGTCACACTTACAGATTTGTTTTCTGGTTCAACACATTCACGTAACAATAAAAACTGGTGCATCTCACTGTGGGTGTGTGTGTGTGTGTGTGTGTGTGCTAGTGTTACGTGGTTCACCCATTTACCTGAGCTCAACCATTATGTCCTCTAACAGCTCTACGTTTAACTAGGTTGTTTCGTCACACTCTGAGAAAAAAGTGGGAAATCTATCGATCCTCTGCGAACAATGTTCCCTGATGTGTATCGACAGTAGCGGTTGCTGATAAGTGTGTGACCTACTGTACAACTGTGAGCTGAATTAGGTCAAACACGTAGAGCTGCAGGTTAACTGTACACCCTCACTTAAAGCTGAGGTGGGTCAGCGCACAGAGAACGGACCTGTTCCATGATGTGTGCATTGCATTTCTAGAAGGCAATGCGCTAGCACGCTATTACACTGTTATCTCCAGCAGACTTGTGTACTTCCCTTTGAGTTATTTATGGTCAGCCTAAATAGTAGCAGCTTTGTTTTATTCTTAAGCTGCTTTAGATAAAAGCATCTGCCAAATCCATAAACATAACTTTCCCTCTTATCACTAACAGATAGGCTGATGATGATGATGATGGGAAAACGCTCAGCACCAGAAAGAGATGTTGCCTCAAAACTGGGACGATCTGTTGGCATAATCAAGGTTTTAGGTGTCGTTAACCATAGAGGAGATAAATATGCAACAGAGAAACAAAAGCGGGACAGATGCCACCTGCAGGGTAATGCATAAACTGAAATGCATCATGTTCAGTGGAGAAACAAACTCACTAATCATGTATTTATCCCTTAAATCAGCTTTGGGTGAAGGGGTGTTCAAATGGTGCAAAGGTGCCTTGCTCATATAAAAAAGAAAAGAAAGAGTCGGACTAATAAGGGAAACCACTAAAACAAAATAGGCCAACAAGGTAAGTGGTTATAAATATTGTATGGGAGTATAGCATTAATTATGAGGAGGTACTTGTTCAAAATAAGCTGAAAACAGCACAGACACAGAACACAAGCACAAACCAGGAAATAAAAAAATAATGGAACACTATAGAGGAGTTCAAACAAGGAGACTAATATGGACAAAACAGTAAAAATAGAGACCTTTCTTTTCCTTTTACATTAGATGAGTAAATGGTGCTCTGACGACAGGTGTTAACAATCACTTTTGTCCAATTTTAGTCTGACCTACATAAGTTACCAGAGCAGGATGGTGCAGACCCTCCGCGCCATCACCCCAGGTTCCTGAAGAGCTGAACTGAAGCCCAGTGGGTGGTTCCCACCACCACCGTCATGGCCGTGTCACGTGTCTCGTCACTCCCAGAAAATCCCAAAATGGTTTTGGGAGCAGGGCTGTGAGGGTGGAGGCAGAGGATTGACACCCATCAAACTCTGAGCCGAGCTAACGGAGCTAACATGAGCTAACAGATGTTGACGTGAATGGCAAATTTAGTCACTTCTGCAATGGCTTCACCATGGACGTAGTTTTGACTTTAGAAGTGGGGGGGATACAAATGAGGACTGGGGGGGTGGGGGGGGAGGGGGTCTTTACAATAAGTCCTAATGGGAAACAGGCTTCAACACAAACATTTTTTTACACTTGGTCCTAGTGCTCAACCAGTGTCTATTTAATACATCGTCATATTGTTTTTGGACGGTAAAAAGTGTAGGGGTCAAAAATTGACTTTGAAAAAAAAAGGGGGGGGGGGGGACATGTGCCCCCTGTGCCCCCTCAAAACTACGTCCATGGGCTTCACTTTTGATAGGCAGTGTATATTTTTACTTGTATGCGTGTTTTGCAGATAGTGATGCTGCAGCATCAGGTGGGAGGACGCGAGTCTGCTTGCTGTTATGAATCTGAATAAGAACAGTTCAGTTTGGGTGATTGCAATCTGGTTTGTGAGTCATAATCATACACTCTGAGACATCCAGAGGCAGCTCTTTGTGTGTGTGTGTATGTGTGTGTGTGTGTGCTTGTTTTCCGCTCGTTCGTGTGTTGACAGCGAGGAGAGACAGGAAATGACAGATTTTTAACCTTCTCTCTCCCTCACATCTCTGACTCTCTAATCCACTCTACTCCTCATCTGGGTTCAGGGAGCTGATAGGGGCTGGAAATGTGACTGAATCATGTGGAGACACGTGACGCGTTTTTACACAATCTGTGTGTGACTAGAAAGTGTGTTTTGCAGTTTTTTTAACCAACAGAGAATAGAGAAGTGAATCAAACTTATATATGCACACACAGACACGCACGCACGCACGCGCGCACACACACTCATACACACACACACACACACACACACACACACACACACACACACACACACACACACACACACACACACACACACACACACACACACACACACACACACACACACACACACACACACACACACACACACGTTTGTGTTTACTCAGGACATGCAGACTTGTGTAGTTTAATATTATAGTACGCTTTGCTGCGGGGTCTGACCTGACAGAGAGGGATGGGGGATGGGTGTCCTTTCCACCTTTCTCTTGTTGTTTCTCCTCTTTTCTCCTCTTCTTTTATCCCACCTTTCCTCCTCCTCCTTCCTTTCTTCACCCTGCTTGCTGTTTCTCTCCATGAGGCCCATTTTCATCCCACTCAGGTGTCGACCTCACTTGCAGTCTGTCCTCTCTGTGCCCTTCCCAAACTCCTCTTTTTTTTATTCTCCATCATCTATTTACTGAAGTATCATTCCTACTTCTTCTCCCGTTTGTGAATTCCAGAATGTCTTTCTCTCTCTTAGTTGGTGTTGAGTTTCTTTATAGTTAAGCTGATGTGACTTCACTTAATTTGCTATTCAGCCACTGAGAGCGAGGACAAAAACATCTTTATGCATATTTTTATAATAAAAGCGCCCAGCTGTGCTGCTTCCAGCTGTTGCTGAATCGGTAATTCTGGTAATTAAAGTGTATTGTGTGTCAAAATATCATCTTTTTTTTAAATGTTGCTTTCAAGGAAAAATAAACGCAGCCACAATCATTAAATTTCACGTAAAAAGATAAACTCGTCGTTGTCGTCGTCTTCCTCCGCTTATCCGGGTCCGGGTCGCGGGGGCAGCATCCCAACTAGGGAGCTCCAGACCGTCCTCTCCCCGGCCTTGTCCACCAGCTCCTCCGGCAGGACCCCAAGGCGTTCCCGGACCAGATTGGAGATGTAACCTCTCCAACGTGTCCTGGGTCGACCCGGGGGCCTCCTACCGGCAGGACATGCCCGAAACACCTCCCCAGGGAGGCGTCCAGGAGGCATCCTGACCAGATGCCCAAACCACCTCAACTGGCTCCTTTCGGTCCAGAGGAGCAGCGGCTCTACTCCGAGTCCCTCCCGAATGTCCGAGCTCCGCACCCTATCTCTAAGGCTGAGCCCGGCCACCCTACGGAGGAAACTCATTTCGGCCGATTGTATCCGCGATCTCGTTCTTTCGGTCATTACCCAAAGCTCATGACCATAGGTGAGGATTGGGACGTAGATCGACCGGTAAATCGAGAGCCTGGCTTTCTGGCTCAGCTCCCTCTTCACCACGACAGATCGGCTCAGCGTCCACATCACTGCAGACGCCGAACCAATCCGCCTGTCGATCTCCCGATCCCTCCTACCCTCACTCGTTACCTTATTACATTTTTATACACATTTCTGAGTGAAACATATATCTGAGAAGAAAATGGGCTTGAAGACGGATTACAACCTGTAGGTCCCTATCTGCTGTGCTCCAGCCACATCTCTGCAAACAGAGGTGGCGATTATACATTTTTTTAAAGGCTATTAGACTTCACAGCTTATTGTCTTTTTTTTTTTTGCATGTTGGATTTTGCAAGTTGCATCAGAAGCACTCAAACAAATGGACACATAAACAGATGAAGCACTGTTTCTGTTGAGTAAGTACACCACTCAAAATCGCCGTGCTCACTGATTACAGAACAAACTGTGTCATCCAGCAACTCTTTACCGTTCAAGTGCAATCGATCAAAATGCCTGCTGGCAAATAAAAACTAAAACATCAGTGCAGGGCAGATGATGGTGATGTGAGCAGGCTGAGTTGTCATAGACAGAGACGGGACGGGTCTATTTTCTGGGCTGTCAGAATAAACGTTGAAAGGATTTGCTGGAAAACCGCTTTTTATGTTGAACCTGCGGCGAGGATTAGTGTCACGACCTCGTATTACATTTTTGAGCTATATTCATCTGGATAGAAGAAGCAGAATATTACCAACGGTTTCTTATGTGACTCTATAGCTGCTCTATTCATTCCATCAGATCCACACAACGTGCTTTAACTGTTGATATTTGATGTGCTAACAGCTCACTGAGCCACCAAGATGCAGCAGATGGTTGTATTTATTTTTTGCACCTGCGTCACTTTAGGTTAATGAACATCAACTATCAGCTGCCAGAACAGTGTGTGTGTCTGTGTGTGTGTGTGTGTGTGTGTTGCGTGTCGACCTCCACCCACCCAAGCCTGGCTTGACACGTCACATCACACGCGAGGAAAAGACAGGGGCCATCAGATGAATTAAAATCTGTTCCTCCTCTCCATGCGGACTTAAGCATCCCTGCCTCAGCCAATCAGGAAGCCCACTGAGGGCGCGAGTAGGAGGATGAGGAAGCCTCCAGGGCTGGCAGCCCATTTCTCTTGTCACAGCTGGGTGGGGTGGGGGATATGCAGTGACGTGGGGAGGAAAAAGGGAGGAAGGGGCATGGAGAGGGAGGAGGTAATCCAATGAGACACAGAAGGGGAGAGGCAGTGTGAGGGAAACGCCTCACAGCATCGGGAATCTCTCTCTCTCTGTCTCCATTTCTCTCTCTAACCCTCCTATCCTTCTCTTTCTTCTGCCTCTGAAGCGTAAAAACCAAAGGACTCTTATCTCTCATTCAGTCTTCTCCACTCGAGGAGTGTCCTCATGTCTCTTTCGCTCTAATTTCACATCTAAAGTTGGTTCTCCTGCAGCTGAAGGATGATTTTTCCAGGATTTTCCTCCTGATTCACTGGGATGCAGCATCTTTTCCTGGACTCATCTTTGTTCTTGTGCTTACAGCTGCTGAGTGTACAGCAGCTGCTAGTGGGGAACTAGGTTAGTGTGCCTGTTTCGGTGCCTGACAGACAGACGGACAGCAAGAGGTGACTGTGTGTTTAGTGAACAGAGGAGATGATGGTGGAAGGGATGCCTCCTTCTCAGCGGTAGTGAGAATTCTTGCAGGAGGTGACTGGAATGCTTCCACTCAGCCTTTAGCAGGAGTGTCAGCAGCTAATTTCAGGAGAACAAAGAAAAAGGCACCTGAAGAGGCATTTCTATTGCATTTTTAGTGGTCATAGGACAGGGGCTCACCTGTGCACCTGCTTTGAGCAGACATCATGGACATCAACCTGCAGTCGCATCGATTCTACTTCCCTCAAATCTACTGTGCAGAACCAGGGGTGCAGCCGCAGCTTGCCGAGTTCAAAGTCAGGTAGGAAAACATGGAGAATCTGCGGATCCATCAGTGAATTAGTGGTGATGTCAGATTTTTTTTTTCAGAATCTGGTGATTGCATCCCCAGCTGCTGCAGCAGCACATAAGGCGCTTCACTGTGTGATGGGTGCTGCTGAGAGTGGCTGGCTGCCCTGGCAGGGGGATGGGGCTGGATGCTAATGTATCAGCTAGCTGTGCAGAAAAGTGTTTAGGATCCTGGGAGAACCAGGGGGCATTGATGCCCAATGAAGGAACTTGCCAAGTTTGGACAGAGGAGCTGATAGTTGTGTTGCATTTGCCTGGATCTGTAGGCCTCTTTAGGGCTGCCTCCATGGCTCTTTTGTTCCGTGTGTGTGTGTGTGTGTGTGTGTGTGTGTGTGTGTGTGTGTGTGTGTGTGCACTTGCTCACTTCCTCCTGTTACAAATTCTCTCCAATCAGTGCTGAAAGTGTTCGGGGTGGCTTGTTGCACCCACAGCCAAACGTCTGCTTGCCGTCATGCTTGCAGCCGTCGTGAAGACGCATGCTCAGACATCTTCTTTGTCTCGTTCAGGTGTAATTGTTCTTCATGGAGCTGTTGTGCTTTGTCATGGTTAGAAAAAGAACTAAAAATGACCTTTTCTTTGTCTCAACTCTCCACTCAACAATCTTTGCACGTGTGGTTTGAGATGTCCTTGTAATCTTATACGAGGCACATTAGATGATTTCTCCACTAACAGCTCTGATTAGTGCAGCTTTAAGAGACTCAGCCGGAGTTTTGTCACACTAAGCAGCTTTTAGGTTCACCGGGCTGCCATGCAGCTATTTTGGGTGACGGTGTGTCACTATCACAGCCTGGCAGAACTCTGTGACGGCCCTGTAGGAGTCTGAGGTCGCTCGCAGCTGGACTGATGCACCCAAAGTGTTTGTAAACCTCATTCCTTGTTTGAGAAGACAAAGATGGAAATGTGTAGAGCAAAACCAGGAAATTCATTCTGTTTATGAGCATCATGAGGTGAAAGTTTACATCTTTAAACCAGTGGCGTGTCCAGATCTTTTAAAATAGGGTGGCCCATGTGAGGCACAACTTTGTGCATGGGTGGCACCGATGGTTATGTTTTTTTTTTTAACCCCCAAGCCTTTTGTGGACAATGAAAAGCCTATTTAAAGATAAATTAGTGTGCTGGCACCTGGGGTGGCCAATCAGATTCCAAGGGTGGCATGTGCTACCCCAGGCCACTCCCTGGACACACCCCTGCTTTAAACAGGAAAGGATTTCAACAGCAATCAGTGTCTAAAGTAGGAACACAGAATAAACAGTTCCCCCTGTTTATCAGTGCAAAACACACACACACACACACACACACACACACACACACACACACATCTAAACGAAGTGTGCAGAGAAAAGTGTTATTTTTACAAAACTGATTCAGGCAATCATCTCTTACAAATCCGGTTTTATGACATAGATCCTCATGCAAAGTAGAGAATTTTCAAAGCCTACTAAATTCTGTCATGCTTGCGTTTTTTTCACTCATTTTTTATTATTTCCATAGTTTTTAGCTAAATATTTAAGCAGAAACTGATGTTTTGCAGCCGTCAGACCAGGATGACTGACTCTGGACCACAATCATAGATTTGAACAAAAAGTCTGTAACGTCAGCAATAATCTAACAGCCCAGCCCACTTTAGGTCTAAATGATGAAAACTAATCATTGAAAAATAAATTTAATCAAAATTTAATCAGCAACAGTTACATCATTTGAGATGATGTCACGCAGCTTCCCGCTCTTAAGCTGGAGTCGGGAAGACATGACATCACTGCCGAGAGCTGTGTCTAATCGTGCTGCACACGTGTAGTCAATAGTTTTGCACTTTAGTGCATTTTAGTTAAAACTTTAATCTTCTGCCTAAAACTGTCAGTTGTGCCGTTGTCAGGTAAAAGTCTGCACTGCATTTGAATTTAAATCTGCCATTGCTATTGGCTAAGAGGTACCTTAGAATGTTAGCTGGTACCATGTGACGTCACAATGTCATTGCGAGCCTGTGTGTGTGTATTTGTTAGTGGCTCCGCCCTCTCGGTCTGCTAGGCAACAGCATTTGTTGCATTTTTCAAACAGGAAGTGGGAGTGGAGTAATACTCGGGTAAGGGGTGACTTGCTCTTTAATAACTCAGTAAATCATCATGTTTTAGAAATGTAGCAGAATTATTACAAAAACTACAGGATACATATAAAATGTAGCAAAATACTGACTGTTTCTTTTAAGTTTGTCCAAATGGTTTAAAAGTCTAATAATGCACAATAAATAATTTCTAGTTGTTACTGCCCATCCGCTCTGAAACCCTTTAACTTCTTTTTAAGAGCTGCTGTTATTACTTGAGGATTATATCTCAGGGTGATGGAGAGGCTTTGGTTTTTCCAGGATTCCCAGAGGAAACCGGATGTCTGCATTATCCCCCACCATTGCTACCATCACCACCACTACTAGAGTGGTCTGAGATTAGAGACTAAGGCTAACACAAATGTACGCCAAGCATAAGAGAGCACTGCAGGAAATCTGCAAGGCATTCTGGGTCATCGGGTCTGCTGCCTGATGACCAGAAGCAACGACAGGATGAACAGAGTTACCATGGTGACACCACTTATTACTACTGTAGTCTGAAAAAATTTCAAACTTAATGGGCTTCAGAAAAATAAGATCAACGTTAGCGTTTATCTGCAGTGTGAGGGTGACGCTCCAAAGGCATCATGGGAAACAAGAGGCTCGGGGGTGTCTTCACTTCCTACTGCTGTAACTGTTAAAGCTCCGGCTGGGCTCTCGCCTCTTTACAGGGAATGTCTTTTTGTTTTTAACTTTAATAAAAACAGAGATGATTACTGTCTCAAAGCAGCTGATGCTCCTTTTTGCACAATATTTCTCCTGTTTACATCTTAGAATAGAATAGAATAGAATTTATTGATCCCACAGTAGGGAAACTCACTTGTTACAGCAACACCAACACTTAATAATAATTTGAAAAAAATTATAACAAAGGTACATGTGTACACACATAGGCAGTTATAACAAAGGTACATGTGTACACACATAGGCAGTTATAACAAAGGTACATGTGTACACACATAGGCAGTTATAACAAAGGTACATGTATTCATACATAGGCAGTTATAACAAAGGTACATGTATACACACATAGGCAGTTATAACAAAGGTACATGTGTACACACATAGGCAGTTATAACAAAGGTACATGTGTACACACATAGGCAGTTATAACAAAGGTACATGTGTACACACATAGGCAGTTATAACAAAGGTACATGTATACACACATAGCCAGTTATAACAAAGGTACATGTGTACACACATAGGCAGTTATAACATAGGTACATGTATACACACATAGGCAGTTACAACATAGGTACATGTATACACACATAGGCAGTTATAACAAAGGTACATGTATACACACATAGCCAGTTATAACAAAGGTACATGTGTACACACATAGGCAGTTATAAAAAAGGTACATGTGTACACACATAGGCAGTTATAACATAGGTACATGTATACACACATAGGCAGTTATAACATAGGTACATGTATACACACATAGGCAGTTATAACAAAGGTACATGTATACACACATAGCCAGTTATAACAAAGGTACATGTGTACACACATAGGCAGTTATAAAAAAGGTACATGTGTACACACATAGGCAGTTATAACATAGGTACATGTATACACACATAGCCAGTTATAACAAAGGTACATGTGTACACACATAGGCAGTTATAAAAAAGGTACATGTGTACACACATAGGCAGTTATAACATAGGTACATGTATACACACATAGGCAGTTATAACAAAGGTACATGTATACACACATAGCCAGTTATAACAAAGGTACATGTGTACACACATAGGCAGTTATAAAAAAGGTACATGTGTACACACATAGGCAGTTATAACATAGGTACATGTATACACACATAGCCAGTTATAACATAGGTACATGTGTACACACATAGGCAGTTATAAAAAAGGTACATGTGTACACACATAGGCAGTTATAACAAAGGTACATGTATACACACATAGGCAGTTACAACATAGGTACATTTATACACACATAGGCAGTTATAACAAAGGTACATCTATACACACATAGGCAGTTATAACAAAGGTACATGTGTACACACATAGGCAGTTATAACAAAGGTACATGTGTACACACATAGGCAGTTATAACAAAGGTACATGTGTACACACATAGGCAGTTATAACAAAGGTACATGTGTACACACATAGGCAGTTATAACAAAGGTACATGTGTACACACATAAGCATTTATAACAAAGGTACATGTATGCACACATAGGCAGTTATAACATAGGTACATGCATACACACATAGGCAGTTATAACAAAGGTACATGTATTCATATATAGGCAGTTATAACATAGGTACATGTATACACACATAGCCAGTTATAACATAGGTACATGTGTACACATATAGGCAGTTATAAAAAAGGTACATGTGTACACACATAGGCAGTTATAACATAGGTACATGTATACACACATAGGCAGTTACAACATAGGTACATGTGTACACACATAGGCAGTTATAAAAAAGGTACATGTGTACACACATAGGCAGTTATAACATAGGTACATGTATACACACATAGGCAGTTACAACATAGGTACATTTATACACACATAGGCAGTTATAACAAAGGTACATCTATACACACATAGGCAGTTATAACAAAGGTACATGTGTACACACATAGGCAGTTATAACAAAGGTACATGTGTACACACATAGGCAGTTATAACAAAGGTACATGTGTACACACATAGGCAGTTATAACAAAGGTACATGTGTACACACATAGGCAGTTATAACAAAGGTACATGTGTACACACATAAGCATTTATAACAAAGGTACATGTATGCACACATAGGCAGTTATAACATAGGTACATGCATACACACATAGGC